AGACTTTCTTCAAATCGAAAACTCTCAAAATAATATCTCCCAACTTTAATTGTTCAACTTGGAAATCCAAGCTATATCATATGAGATGAAAGTGGGTCAATTTTTTTAGATATTGAAAGTGATTCAGATCTTTGTATTGTGCCATCTAATGATTTTCATAATCGTAAAATAACTATCAAAGAGAAAACATGAAAAAGAAGTGCAACATTGGTACCATTTGACATTAGCCTCGCGAGGAAGGACAACTCAAAAGAAATAGTCTGCAAATCTTTTGCATCGACCATAAACTATGAATCTCCTATGTATTGTCTTCATCGAGCCTTTACCCCATGATCAATCCACATCATCTTCGAGTTATGATTATTCTAGTCCTGAACCTGAGCCTAGCCCTAATCCTAAATATAATGGTTTCATGCATCCCATTGTTACTTGTAAGGGGGTGAGGTATTATACCCAACATCCGTTATCTTAGTATGTATCTCACATTTGTCTTGTTTGGAGATTCCTAATACTATGTATGATACTCCGAAAATTCATAAGTGGAAGAAGACCGTCTTGAAGGAGATGAAAGCTCAGGACAAAAAAAATGTCATGTGAGAAATGGTTGATCTACCAAGAGGAAAAAAAGCTGTCGAATGCAAATGTGTGTTTACAATCGAGTATAGTTTTGATGGGTGTCTTGAACAGTACAAGACTCGACTGGCTGTCAAGGGTTTCGTTTAAACCTATGATATTGATTAGATAGAGATATTCACCTCAGTCACAAAACTAAACTTTATAAGAGTTATTTTGTTTCTTCCAATTAATTTTGTATGGCGTTCGCAATAGTTAAATATAAAAAATGCATTTTTCAATTGGGACTTGGAGGAAGAAGCGTACATGAATGCACTTCTAGGATTTAGTGAGAAGTTCGACTCAAGGGCATGCAAACTAAAAAAAAAATCTTATGCGGGTTGAAGCAGTCATCGAGAGCGTGGTTTGAGAAAATTATTTTGTTTGTTAAAGGTAAGGGGTATGCTAAAAAACGGTGAGATCATACATTGTTCTTCATACATTCAAAGGATGAGAATATAGTCATAATCTGTGTATGTGGACAGTTTGTTCTCACCAATAACGACGTATATGAAATGAGCCGGTTGACGGCTTCCTCTTAGCAGTTTTTGAGAACAAGAACTTAGGATCTCTAAAGTATTTTCTTGGCATGGAGGTTGCTAGATTGAAGAGGATTGTTGTTTCCTAATAGAAATATGTTTATAATATTCTAAAGGAAAATGGGATTAGTACTTGTAGGCTTGAATACACTCCAATTTGATCCCCATTAGAAACTTGGTGATGAGAAGGAAAGTGACCCTGTGAATGCAACACGGTGTCAAAAGTTAGTAGGAAAGTTGATATATTTATCTTGTACACAACCAGATATTGCCTTTGCTGTAAATTTGGTAAGTCAATTTATGTATTCGCCATTTATAACAATTATCATTATCCTCCGATTCCTTAAAAGTACACTACGCAAGGGATGACTCTTTTAGAAGACTGCACAACAGAAGATAGAGGCATATATTGATGCAAATTAGGCAGGCTTAGTTTTTGACAGAAGATCAACGTTTGGTTGTTGTACTTATGTTTTAGGAAATTTGATTACGTGGCGAAGTAAGAAATAAAATGTGGCGGCAAGTAGTGTAGAGGCTAAACATCAAGCCATGGCTAATAGAGTATTTTATGACTGAAGAGAATTCTTGAAGAATTATGAAACCCGATAAACATGTTAATGAAGTTATACTGTGACAATAAAACTACCATAATTTAGTGCAACATGATCACACAAAGCACGTGAAAATTGATAGATACTTCATAAAAGAGAAGATTGATTGTAGAGATTTTTGCATGTCTTTCTCTTCGACAACACAACAAATAACAAATATCTTTATCGAAGAACTTTTCAGTCCTAGTTTTGAGTTCCTTGTAAGCAAATTGGGCATGATAGATATCTTTGCTCCGATTTAAGGGGAGTTGTCGAAATTTTTTTAATTTATATTTTTGGTATCTTCTATTTTTTTAATTTTTTATTTTTAGTAGTTTCTATTGTTAGAATTAGTTATTGTTGGTAATTTCTATTTTCTATTTTCTAGCAATTGGGTTTTGTGGCTTTCCCAATGTGGTGGTCTTCCACTGCTATTTATCTTGTAGCAGAGTCTTAGAAAATTGAAGACAAATAATTATTTTTCTACTCTCAAAATCTTGATCTTTGTTAGCTACGGGTTCTTAACTTTTAAGAAATAGTTGCCGTAATTTTTCTTAGTTGATTTCTGAGTGATTATTCTTAAATGATGCATACAAATCCCTCTGTAGAATATTAAGCATAAGATAGATTGAAAATATCTACTAGTTAACCTCTCAAGGAATATCAAAAACATTTAGGGGATATTGGTTGGATGTTCTCAAAATATATGTATTTTTGAAATGCAGTGTAATTGAAGCACATGCATTGAACTACATTTGTGTTTGTGATGATACATTTTAAATGCATTGCAGTATGGGTGAGGGTGACATGGATGGCAGCACTAGGTGGGAATCACGAGCGGGTGGAATGAAGGTTTTGGAAATTGCCCGATTTGAAAGATTTTCAAATCGGAAAACATAGGTTTTATGGTATTTTCAATCCATAAAAAATTTGCTTGTATTTCTTCTCTTTATACGGAACATCAAAAAAAGAAACGAGAATTCTACTAATACATCCAACCAAAAAGCCACTTATTGTTAGGATTTTGACTTGGAAAATCAGGCTTACTTTACAATTAATAATTAGAAATTATGCTGCCCTCAAGCTGTCTAAGGAAATTTTTCTCATTCATTTTTGCTTTTGAATATGTTTCCTGAAACTCCTTTTGATGGTCATCTTTATCAATCTATGACACCATCAAGCACTTCCTTTAATCAACTTTTGCAGAGGGCAAAGTGTTTTTATGATATATTCATTCATTCCGTTGAGGTTCTATGTAGAAATTGACTAAATGGCATGTTAATTTGTGTGCAATTAACAATTGACCAAATATTACTAGAAAATAAAGTGATTCCCCAGTGTGATGGGTTCATATAGCTTAACTTCTATTAAAAAGTAGATGTTTATGCGGATATAATTTCTAGAATCAATTATGTGTGGTTAAATTGGAGATTTGTACAAAAATATCGGATAATAGAATATCTCATAGACTTACAAGAAAATTTTATTAACTTGTGGTGTATGATATATGTATGTGAATTTTGGGTGAGGAGAATTCATCACCTGTTAAGTTGGCTGTTATAGAAATGTTGCAACAACAACAACAAGCTAAAATCCCACTAAGTGGGATTGGCTCCATGAATAATTTTTCTCCATTATGTCCCATTGAGTGTCATATTTTCATCTAATTCTAATAAATTGAGATCATTTTTATACAACATGCCCAAGTCTTATTAGGTCTATCTCTACCTTTCTCAGCATAAGTCAAATCTAAAATATCTTCTCTCTTAGCAGGGTCATTAAATGGTTGATGTTTAGTGTGACCAAACCATCTAAGGTGACTTTTTCTAATCTTTTATGCTACCGGAGCTACTCCAACCCTTTCAAGGATATATTCATTTTGCATTTTGTCTCTTGGTATAAAACCACTCATCCACCTGAGCATTCTCATCTCAACAATGCTTAACCTAGTTTTATGCTTCTCTTTTACATGCCAACATTCTGCGCGATAAAACATTCTACGTCTCACCACCATCTTATAAATTTTTTCTTCAAGTCTAAACGGTGCTTTTCTATTACACAATAGGTTCCATCCAACATGACTTCTACTAATAACATCCTCATCCATATCACCATCACTTTAAACAATGGACTTGAGATATATAAAATGTTCACTCCTTTTAAAATAGATGTTTATTTAAAAAGGATGAATGAGAAATGACTTTAAGATAGGTGCAAGCAACACATATTAAAGATATGATAGTAGAAGATAGATTTAGGTGGTTTGAACATATATAATGTTAAGGTAGAAGGCAATAATATGACGCAACGATCCTCAAATAATACTTAACAAAAAGGAATTAATAACTAAGATGCACATGATTCCTCTACACATTTACACCCCTGAATCTTTATTCTTACTTCATTTTTGTTTAAGCTTGTCTAATATGTTAAATTTACTATTTATAATAATTTTAAATAAATTTTATCGATGTAACATTCGGTCTTCCAATTCGGCTTAATAAATATCTGACAATAATTATATCAACTTGTCCTACGGGCACAATTTTTGCTCTTCGTTGTATATGTCTAAACTGTCTTTTTTTAGGCACTTTATCTATAATTTCTAGATGCCATTTTAATTTTTCATTCTATTGTAATCCTTAATTTATTTTTTCTCTATGTGATCATTTCTTAATTTCATTTTTCTCTCTTTTGTCACACATCCATCTCAGCGTTCTCATTTCTGATTTACTCAACCTAGATATCAATAATTTTTTTTTATGCAACCAACATTTGAATCATTCAATATTGTAAACATAAATGTAGTTTATGAAGTTTACTTTTAATCCTTCATGATGGCCTCTTATCATATAAAATTATTACGACACCTTTTTATTTTAACTTTCCCACTTTAACTCTACATATTCTATATCTCTGTTCTTTTCTAAGGCACACAGATAATCACTTTAAAAAAAGCTTGATAAGGCTAATGATGATTCATGTTAAGTGTAGATCTTTAATATTTGGTTATACTTGGTTATACCAAATCAACCACCTAGCACATCTTTGTCTTTGCAACTGGCAGATTTCAAGAACCTTTGTGATTATATTGGTTTCACTCTATGTTTCTCATGTATCTGACTTTTAGCAGGCGCATTGGTTTCAAACATTTATGCTTTGCTCTCAATTTTATCATCTTTTGTTTGAGCGGAAGAAACTATTACTCTTTAACAGATTTTGATTTTATCTTTCAACTACTAACGAGTAGTATTTTCAGATGAGAAAGAATCCTTAGTTTTTGAAGACGTTAGTCCCGAGAGGAGCTCACCTGATACTGCTGGCCTAGGTGACAGAACACCCGCATCAAGCAGATTCCCTATTGTAGATTCAATAAAGGGGGAGCTTTTGTCGAATACTGAAAATGTTAATTCCCAAGTGGTCTCAGGGGTGTTTCTTAAAAGCCCTTTCCGTCTGATACAGGATTATGCCTCAGATGAAAGTGAGGAAATTATTAGAAGTGGTAATGATGAAGACTTTAACCCTATGAGACTTTCTCCAGCCACTGCAACAGCTACTTCAGAGTTGCAGCAAGAGAAGCAATCTGAGTTATGCTCAAACTATGGTGGTCAAGATTTTACTGAGGTTCCAAATGAATCTGGATATAATACTGCTTTGTGTCAGCTTTCTCCTTCAATGCCACAAGGAACTCGTAGATCTCCAGAAAAATCATCACCGTCAGTCAGCATCGGCCACTTTGATATAATAAGCAAAACTGTAGATCCTGATATTCATCCAGTTGAACATTTGGAAAATGATGGAAGAGAAACATTCAGGCCTTCTGAATATGATGATTTTGAAAGAAGAAAAATAAATGCTGATCAAGAAAATGTGGAACTTAATTCAAAAGAGAGCTTAATGGAGAAGCAGGCATTTGATGATGTTGATGAATTTGGGCGTTTGATAAGAAAAGATGTGAGTCCTAGTGACTCCGATGAGAGTCAATATGGCAAGCGACGTGGTAAGAAAGGTAGGAATTGGAGTAGGAGCATGAGCAGATCACCTCAGGGAAGTAGGATGCGGCGTAGGAGTCGCAGTCCAAGGAGGAGAGATAAGCGAAGTAGATCTCGCAGGTTGACTGATGTTTTTTTTATACCAGTTTTTTATATTTTATTAGGGGCATTTACAGAGCAATTCTTATGTATTTACATATATCACACCTAAACTTTCATATTTATCCATATATCACTCAAATCTATAATATCACACTAAAAATAGCATTATTACTACCTTTTTAAAAGCCAAATACATCTTTTCATGCACAAGTTTAAAACACCGAATTGCTGCGTGTAAATACAAAAGGTGTGAGATATGTAAATACATATGAATTGTGTGCTATGTATGTGAATTTCCCATTATTTTATTGCTCGTTGAAGCTTATGTCTTCATTTATATATACTCTGTTTTGGATCGGAGATAGGTAACGGCAGGCATGGTAACTACTATAATCAGCCTTTTCCTCCTCTTTTACCCTTTGCCACACATTTAATGTCTTACATTTTGTTTCAGCTGGTCCCCCAAAAGAGGAAGGAGTAGGTCTCCCCCATTGTTCCGGCCTAATATGTCTGCGAGACATGGTCGGGACTTGCTTCATGAATGCTTGGACTTCAACCGCGGAAAATGTTTTCGTGGAGCATCTTGTCGGTACCTCCATCGTGATTTCAGACAACACCCCAACATGCAAAGGCGCTATCCAGATCCACGAAAGCCTCGATATCACAATACTTCTGATGATGCGTTCTTGCCAAGAATTGGCCGTCGTGATAATATTTGTGCTGCTGATTTGCATCCTTTAAAGAGTGAAATATTCGTTGATGGAATGGATTATGAGAAACAGGTTTACGAGGGGCAGTACGATGCTAGAACAGACACTGTTTTTCATAATTTTTCAGACGAAAAGGATAAAGTAGTGCCAACATCAGAAACAGAAGACACTATCAACCAGGCGTCTCAGGAAGCAATTAGTCGGGAATTGGAGCCACCAGTTGAGCACATTCTTGCTTCTGTTGAGGGTGAGAGCACCGGGCCACCACCTGAATCCTCCGAGCCTAAAAAAGCCGACAACTGTCCGGTTCATAGTTCCGGTGATGGACATGCTCTGTTTCAACAACCTAGCTCAGGTGGTGATGTTTCTTTTCAAGCTTCTCAGTCCACCACCCATGACAATGCTTCAGAAGCTGAAAAGTCTAGTCAGCTTGCTCATGTTCAGTCTTCTTCTTCGCCACATCATTCACCTGATCAAATAAGCCTCTCTGCAAATGATTCAATTCAGGATTTAACACGTGTGGGTGAAAATATTGCGGTTGAGACAACAACACACGAAAATATTGCTACTTCTTCCTACTCACATGGTGTTACCTCAATAAAACCATCAATCCAACCTCTTCATGAAGAATTTTTGCAGCCCCTTTTGCCATCTGGGGCGAACCTCCAGTCAAGTCAACCATTGTTTTGGCCACCACATGAAATGCGACCGATGCGCATGCCGAGCAATAGTTTGACTGGTTTATCTTCGTCGCAACATTTTAGAGAAAATGTCATCCCGCCAATGACAAGCTACCAGTCTCAGCCGGCACCATCTCATACGCTTTATCCCCCTCGACCTCCTTTCCCTGACAATCCATTCTCTAATAATCCGCTTCAGCCAAACCTTGCATGGTCTGATCTAACCCTCCCACCACCTCAAAATATGTTTGCATTGCTCAGTAGGCCACCCTTTCCTTCTTCAGAAATGCCACTGAGAAATGACTTCATGCCTTCAGCCAGGCCCTATCCATCTGGCGACTTTCCTCGTTCTCGGCCATCCGATTTTTTTCCCCCGTCTTTTCATTCGGTGTCATCCTGCCATCCTCCACGACATCAATCTTTTCCGAACGAACAAGGTATTATGCAATTACAGAACCAAAGACTTGCCCCTGCTAGTTCTATGCCTTTGGTTAGGTCCTTCCATGGAGAAGAAATTTTTATGCCACGTATAAGAGATGCACATCATTCTCATCCGCCATTACTGAGATACCCAGATAACTACTTCCAACCACAGCCCTCTGATGGAGGTTTATCTATCTTTCCTATCAAAGAGCATGTCAACCCATTTGCTTCCACCTTCGAAAATCCACTTAGAGGCTCCGGCATCCATGGACCAGAGATCAGAAGATATGATTCTGCTCCCAGTTCTGGTAGTATTCCCATTCTTGGTATTGGATTTGGGATGAGAGCATCCCCGAATAGTTCAATGAGATTAGGTGAGCAGATTCTGCCTAAAGTCGGGAGTTACGTACATGAATCTTTCGCAGAAGTGATACCGGATTCGAAAAAACTGTTGGTTCAGGAACCAGTGACCGGTGCCCCATACGATCCTCTCTTTGATAGCATCGAACCATCTCCGGACACTTCGAAGATCCGTGTAGAGGAACAGAATTCAGGGATCAATGACACTGGCAGCGCATCAAAATTAAACTCGAGCAAGCTTGCCAAGTTGGGGAGTAAGAAGCATAAAGGGGGATCAGTTACTGAGCTGAAGGCGGAAGTTGATGAATTCGGCGAGGTTGCAACAGATGCAGATGCTGGCGGTGTTGAAAATGAGAGCCCTCAGCTACTTGATAAAGATTGGAGTCCTGGAATTCCTTTTGATGATGGTGAGATAAATGTAGGAGAAATTGAGATCAGTCAGGTCAGGTCGCCTGGTAAAAGCAAAAAGAACAGGGATTCAAGGTCAATGAGGCTTTTCAAGATCGCCCTTGCTGATTTTGCCAAGGAGGTTCTCAAGCCCTCATGGCGTCAGGGGAATCTGAGCAAAGAGGCGTTTAAGACCATTGTGAAGAAAACCGTTGATAAGGTGGCTGGAGCTGTGCCGAGTCATCATATACCGAAGTCGCAATCGAAGATCAATCAGTATGTGGAGTCATCTCAACGCAAACTGACCAAGTTGGTGATGGTATGCGTCTCCCACTTATGGAGAACACATTTTCCTGTATATAAGTTAATGTTCTTACATTATGTTATTTCATCTTCTCAAGGTTCTTACCTCTTGTTGCTCATAAAAGCATTAAGTGTGAAGATAGACCCTGGCTGTTTACATGGGGCCATTTAAGTTTCAGAGTCTATAAAAATATCAAATTAGCTTTCAGATTCTTTAAATTATAATTGAGATAGTCATCTTTGACGACCATTTAATCTCATATTAAAAGAGTATGAAGACTAAATTTGCACTTTTATAAACTTTAGGACTAAAATGATCTCTACAAAAAATCAAGAGGACTATTTCCTCTTATATTAAAATGCCCGAGAGACTAAATTAACAACTTTATAAACTCTGAGAATAAAATGACTCTAAAAAATAGGCCAATTTTAAATTTTTTTTTTTTAAGCATTATTTTAAAAAGTTTTGCCTTTACATTTATATTATGAATTTTATAATTTTAATGCACAATCCTCTTTCTATTGTTGTAGGGCTATGTTGACAAATATGTCAAGCTGTGAGCTATGGCGGTTACTTTCACAAGTCAACTCATCGAAATCCTTCACTTTTGATCCTTCTGTAGCATCGTCCATCTAAACCTCCAGTGGCATGAAATCTGATTTTGAGAAAGGTATCAAAACCTCGTGATGAAGTCCATCATGGCTCGCTGGTTATCTATTTCGCTGGGGCTTTTCCACATTGGGTGTTTTAGCTGACTAGATTTCTAAATGGAGTACTGGGAAAGGGTAATATGCATGTATGTATCCGTCCTATCTTTTGTTTCTGCAATTGCTGCTTTTTTGACTGATTCGATAAATCATTAGCTTAACATACTGCTGTAAGACAAACTTTTTTTCTTGGAAATTAAGTATTTGTTTTGCATTTTACGTGTTCTGTTGTGTTTTTCAGATAATTCGCTCATCTTGTTCAGTTTCAAATGCCTAATCATACTAATCTTGAAGTCCATATTCCTTTTGGGACGATATTTGGACGAGGATATCTTGATTTAAATTTGGCTTGGATGAGTTTTATAACCATTAGATTTAATTTTAGGGGTATTTACATATCTAACACCTAAACTTTAATACTTATATTGTTAACACTCAATCTTTTAACATAACATCAAAATTACAACTTTACTGACTTTTAAAAAGTCCAATCCACTTTTTAATGCATAGATTTATAGCTCGAAGTTGTTATAAATGTAAATAACAAACTTTAGGTGTTAGATATGTAAATCCATATGAATAGTGTGGTACATATGTAAATTTCCCTTTTTTTGTGGTGCTTATTATGAACTATTATGTTACGTTGGTGATGGTTGGAAAAGCGCCGCAAACTGGGCGGCCACTTCACGCAAATATATATGTTTAAAGAAGTACCGCATATTGCTCCCACGAGGAAGTGTGTTAAGAAACATATTTGAAAAAGTAGAAGATATAGTTTACTAACTATTCCAACTTAGTTCGGCAAAACTCAAAAAACAATAAAGTGAAATCCTAAATCTATTAGAGCTTGTAGAAAGCAAAATAGACGAAAGAGCTGATCAAATTGCTTTGGTGTTTTTTCAAAATTATTGGGGATCGTGCCTCTGTGATTAAGGTGTGGCACCCGACTTGCTTTTCGTGCAAATTTCTTTTATGTGGTTGTTATCAATCAGAGATAATGTATTCTTCTTAAGTTTACGTCTAGGTCCAAAGAAGATTTGGAATTCCACATATGGCTCCCGACTTGCTTTTCGTGCAAATTTCTTTTACGTGGTTGTTATCAATCAAAGATAATGTATTCTTCTTAAGCCTACGTCTAGGTCCAAAGAAGATTTGGAATTCCACATAGATAGATTCTCCTTATCTTTATGGCGTCCCTAGAAATTTCAGGTCCCTGCGATTGCTTGCAAGACCCAAAATAAAATATTCTTATTTTACTTGGATTTAGTGACTAACTTAATCGTTCCACTGCGCTTCTGTCGAAGTCGTAGATCACAATAGATTTTATCACCCTAACTGGCTAGGTTAGGAGTAAACGAAAGCCAGAAGGTTAACTAACAACGTAATCAATTAAAAAAACGTAGAAAAATGTATACGAGAAATCAACAACGAAATGCAAACTAGGAAATTCATCCACAAATCACAGAGACACGAAAAGTTATTTAGCTACTCATGGTTTGAGAGAAAAACAAAGAAAATTTTATAAAAATCAAACCTGCAAGAAATATTTTTATTGAAATAAAAACAACTTACAACCTCTTTGTATTCTCTCTTACTAAAACAACACACAATTTCTCTCAAAAGTTCTCTTAGAAAAACAAAACAAAGAAAACTGAGAGGAGAAGAAGATATCTCTCTAACCCTAGCATACTTATGAATTCTCTTCTCCAAAAGCTCTCCTAAGCCTTCAATTTTGCTCTTTTTATATCTTGAGTTCATCCTTTCAATTTTTGTCAGAATCCCGCATTAAGAACTTTCCAAAAAGAAAATATATGCTGGCGTGGCTTGAGTTCAAAATCCTTTCAATTTTTGTCAGAATCCCGCACTAAGAACTTTCCAAAAAGAAAATATATGCTGGCGTGACCACGCCTGATCTGCGGCGTAATTATGCTGCAGTCTCGGGTTGGGCAGCGTGGTCATGCAACGATTCAACAAGGTATGCTAGTCCCCCTAAACACGAGTTCTCAACACATAGGCGTGACCACACTCGAAATCGGGGTGACCACGTTGCTCAAGTGGCGTAGCCACGCCAGATTTAGGCATGACTATGCTAGTCCAAATTTTTCCTTAAGTCTTTATTTTGCTCCAATTTACGTGCCAGTAGTCCTGTAACCTGCAAAATACAAATCCAACCTTTCAAAAGCATAAGATCATGCCTTTAAAATGGAAAATTGCTGAAATTAAAACGTAAAAAATGTAAAAGTTTGAACGCATGTCAGTTGACACCTAGCCTAAGGGCAAATGTCTTTTGTATGCCTAAGGGCAATTTAGACTTTTATTATTATTATTGTTGGGTAATAATAGGCTTGTTATGTCTAGGGTTAGGTTTATGCATGAAATTGAGTTGTAAGTCTTAAGTTTAGGGTTTGGGAGACATTTTCTACCTTTCGAATTGTAGGAATTGGGAGATATCTCCCATCTCTCGAATTGTAGGTACGTATCGTTTCCATTCGTGCGAACTACTTAGATTATTGCAATAAATTTTCTTTTTGCTCTAATTTTTATGGAAAAAACGTGTCGAATTTGACGTCAAATCGTATCAAGTTGTTATCAGAGCAATAAATGTTAGGAGTATTCGGTGTACAACAGGATCCCAACGATAAGGACCTCCCTTCTGTGACCTAACCGCAATACATCAACCCAAAAAAGTTGCGACTAGAGCTAACTGGGACGCCAACTGCAGAATCATACCCAAAAAAAAAAAAGATTGCTTGCTGTCACACTTAAAACTTTCGGGAAGGCGACGAGAGCAGGATACCCTAATCGTGATCCTAGAAGTCAGTGATTGGATTTGGAATCGAGTGTGCCCTAGTGACGGGAAATAATGACAAGCAAGAAAGTAGTTGATTTTGAGAAGAATGTAGAGGAAGAGACGAGTCAGATTAGATTTAGGATGGAAGAAAGATTCGCCACCATAGAGGATAGAGTGTCTTCTATGGAGAACTGGAGGACTAACTAGAGGATCGATTTGAGAGAATGTTTGAAATTTGAGAAATGCTAAGGAGGCTCATTGAGATGCATTTCAAGTCCCCGCGAACGGCTTAATTTAAAAGGTTGAATGGGAAATCCGTGGCAAGATCAACATAAAAAGAGATCGAAAGTGAGGAACATGGGGCAGAAAATATCCACCATCAGGAACCCCCTCTCTTTGCTCCGATTGGGGGTGGATTAGATATTTGAAAGCAGTTGGGTTGAAACCTAGAGAAAAGCTTATGCAAGACTTATGAAGCAACACGAAGGAGAAAGAAGAGTAGGAAGGGGATATGACTACGATCGAATGAGGGAGTTTTACCCTTGATACATGCTAGGAAATAACAGAGGAAGAGAAAGTTGGGGTGCAGATGTTAGATTTAGAAAGTTGAAGATGCTGATCTTCAATGAGGATGACGCACATAGGTGGGTGTATCTGGCGGAGCGATGCTTCGTGGTTAATGGGTTAGATGGGAAAGAGAAACTCATGGCGACAGGGTTATGTTTGGAAGCGAAAACTTTTGGTTTCAGTGGAGGAAGCTAGATACCCAATCCATTCTTGGGAGTAATTCAAGGATTGTTTGTTGGAATGTTTCCGAGCAATTCGGGAATGAGACCTACACGAACAATTCTATGCCTTGACTCAGGAGAGGACTATCAATGAGAGAAATTTGAGCTATTATTGGGACAACTGAGGGGGATTACTGAAGCAAAATTGGAGGGAAAATTCTTGAAGAGCCTAATGCCCAACATAACGAGCATCATTCTGACTTTTGAGACCGCGGGGATTGAGGGAAACGATGAAACTAAGCTCAGATAGTAGAGGACAAGACTCATATGAAGAAGGCCAACATAAGTATCATAGATGGAATGCCGTGCCGAACTACTACAACTACGACGATACCAAAAGCTTAAACAGTAAAAGTCCGGAGAGAGGCTGCATAGGACACGAATAATGACCACGATTGGGCGCAACACTATGATGAAAGCAGTTGGGTTGAAACCTAGAGAAAAGCTTATGCAAGACTTATGGAACACGAAGGAGAAAGAAGAGAAGTAGGAAGGGGATATGACTACGATCGAATGAGGGAGTTTTACCCTTGATACATGCTAGGAAATAACAGAGGAAGAGGAAGTTGGGGTGCAGATGTTAGACTTAGAGAGTTGAAGATGTTGATCTTCAATGAGGATGACGCACATAGGTGGGTGTTTCTGGCGGAGCGATGCTTCGTGGTTAATGGGATAGATGGGTAAGAGAAACTCATGGCGACAGGGTTATGTTTGGAAGCGAAAACTCTTGGTTTCAGTGGAGGAAGCTAGATACCCAATCCATTCTTGGGAGTAATTCAAGGATTGTTTGTTGGAATGTTTCCGAGCAATTCGGGAATGAGACCTACACGAACAATTCTATGCCTTGACTCAGGAGAGGACTATCAATGAGAGAAATTTGAGCTATTATTGGGACAACTGAGGGGGATTACTGAAGCAAAATTGGAGGGAAAATTCTTGAAGAGCCTAATGCCCAACATAACGAGCATCATTCTGACTTTTGAGACCGCGGGGATTGAGGGAAACGATGAAACTAAGCTCAGATAGTAGAGGACAAGACTCATATGAAGAAGGCCAACATAAGTATCATAGATGGAATGCCGTGCCGAACTACTACAACTACAATGATACCAAAAGCTTAAACAGTGAAAGTCCGGAGAGAGGCTGCACAGGACACGAATAATGACCACGATTGGGCGCAACACTCAAGTGCTTTACAGAGACAGAGATTTGAGAGAAATGAGCCAAAGTGTTATGTTTTCGGTGTGATGAGAAGTTTAACCTATGACACCGGTGTAAGGATAAAAAATTACAAGTTCTTAAGAGTGCACGACGAAGAGGCAGAGAGAAGAAATAGAGACATTGTGGGGGAGGAGGAACACTAATTTTTTCTCACCTTGAGGACGATATCTTTTTGTTGGGGGGGTGAGTATTGTTTTGTTAATGCCTAGCTTGAAAGCAAATTTTTCTTTTGTACGCCTAAGAACAATTTAGTCTTTTATTATCATTATTTTCTGGGTATAAATAGGCTTGTTATGTTTAGGGTTAGGTTTATGCTTGAGATTGTGTTGTGAGTATTAGGTTTAGGGTTTGGGAGATTCCTACCTCTCGAATTGTAGGAATTAGGAGAGATCGCCTACCTTTCGAATTGTAGGTGTTTATCATTTGTATTCATACGAGTTTTTTGGATCATTGCAGTAAAATATTGTGTTTGCCCTAATTTCTATGAAAAAACGTGCCCAATTTGACGCCGGATCATATCATACTCACATTGCAAAATCTCACATGTAAAAAGTTTCATTTTGACTGTGTAATTATTGGGGGATAATTCTACTCACATTGCAAAATCTCACATGTAAAAAAATTCATTTTGACTGTGTAATTATTGGGGGATAATTCTACACCGGATATGGAATATGGTCCTTATTTGACTTGGGTATATAATGTTTAGGTGTTAGACGATAGTAAAGAGTCTGGAACTCGTTTGCAGATGCCATGAACTATTGACTTTGAATTCTATAGTGATGATAGTGCTTCGGCTGGAAAATGATCGAACCTGAGTCAGACTTTTGACCTAATTTGAGCAAAATCTATTCTTTTTATAGGATAGTTTTAAATTCTTGACAAAGAAGTGCATTTCATGCTCATCTATAGATCTCCTTAAAACTCGTATTCTGCTCGACAATCGTAAGTTTTTCCGCCCCTTTTTATAATGTTTGTGTGTTTGACTGTATGACTTCTCTATAATTTATATAAAACTTTCAAATATAGCTTCGAATTGCAACATCTCTTCTTCAGAAACTGGAAACATTGGCTTGTTTATTTATCCAGCTGAACCGTATTGAACAACTGAGCTTGCTCAGGCTCAGCCCTACTTATCTATCCCATACAGAGCCAATTTCTAGTAAACGATTCATTTTTAGGACATTTACATACATACCATATCTTTCTTCTGTATTTACATATCTAAGACCCACACATTCATATTTACATGCATACAACTCAAATCTTTAACATCACACATCAACAATATCGCCATCTTTATCATTTTTATAAGTGGAATACACCTTTTCATGCATAGGTTTGTTCTGTGAGTGCACATATCAAACTTTGGGTGTTAGATATGTAAATAAATGAGAATTGAGTGGAATGTATGTTATTTTTATTGGGTTTTGAGTTGCATATGTAATTAACTTCCCTACTTTGCAAGATGAAACTTTTGGAAGGGTATGGGTGTAAAAGCATCTTGGTCGCTGCTACCGCGCTTTATTGATTCATGGTGCTATGATTAGAAGCTGCTGAACTTTGGAGGCCTGTTGCTGGAGAATAGGTGATTTCTGATGGTTTATGCACTTTGAAATGGGAATTGTATTAGAACATTCTGGAATCTTCTCTTGGTTTTATTTGTTAGTTATGTCCATACGGTGAGATCTATGATGTGTTGGATCATAGTTTGTTTGTCTATAAATGTTTGAAGGAAACATTTTTACATACATACCACCCAGTTCCTATGTATTTACATATCTAACATCTAAGCTCTACTCTTTTTTTTTCACATTTATACTATCCTAATCTTTTATATTACATAAAACATAGTGCTTTGCATTTTTTATATATAGTTTTGATGTGGGATTAATTAGATTGGTTTTGGAAGATTTAAATGTGGTGACTTTTTTTTTTTCAGAAAATAAAATTGTTAGTATATTGAATATCTTAATCTAAACTTTTTTAGGGTGAATTTTGTAAATTTATTCATCTAGAGATATATTTTCTCTTATTATTATGCCTATTATTTATTAAATTAGGTGAAGTTTGGATCTTATTCTTTTGCTTTCAGATTCAGTAATTTGATTGCAATATATATATATATATATATAGAATTTTATATATAAGATTTGAATAATTTTTATAGACTAAACATGCAAATAGACTAAAAGTTGATTATCCCTAATCTGATATTTAGATAATATATATATATATATATCTATATATATATATATTAAAAATAATAATTAAACATAAAATCTAAATAAATGGAATAATTTGAACAGAATAAAATTTATTTTTGGAAGATTTGCATGCATGCCGGTCAAGTTCTATGTATTTTTATATCTAACACAAACTATAATTTTTACATATATGCCAACTTATATATATAGATGAAAAAGGGGTATTTTATATTTTTCTTATAAAAAAAAAGCCGTCATGTATTTGATGTGATATGAAAACTTTACTAGCATAAATGTAAAAATTAAAATTTAGGTGATTGATATGTAAATACGAAAGCTTTGGGTGGTATGCATGTAAAATCCCTATTTTTTTTCTTTCGTATCAATGCTCTACTTAGAAACATTATGAATTTTATGACAATCAAGTTAAATATATAATGAATTGAGCCGAGCTCGAGCAATTTCTAATGTAAGATTGAGCTTAATTAATTAATAGAGAGCGAGCTCACAAGTCGACCTATATTTTGGAGAGGGCAATACGTGTGATTTAAACTCAGACCTTAGAGAAATTAAACTCTTATCCACTAAATCACAGGTGAGTGCGGAATCAAATAATTACTATAATACAGTAATGAAAATATAAAAAAAAGGTTAAATAGTCAACACACCACTTAATTATACACAAATTCATAATTTTGTATTTAAATTTTATTATGTTGGTGTAATTGTTATAGTAGAGCCGAGGGATAGCTCAAATTTGACTTTTCTCGGGCCATTCGAGTCAAGCCCGAGAGAGTCGATTTTACTCGGGATTTGCCTGATCTGTCGAAGGCTGGAAGCGAGCTAATGGAGAAGCGGAGCAGTAGAGGTCCGTGTCTTTCAGAGAAGGTAAGCTCCTCGTAATCTTTTATGTCTGAAAAAACCCTAATTACCTCCGTTCGCTTTCTTATTGATATCCCGAAGGAAATGGTGGTGATTGGAATGCATCGTTTTTTAACTTCGGTTTTACTTTTTTTGTGTTGTGATTATTTTTTTGTTTGGATAAATAGAAATTTTGGTTGACATTAGGGCATGTTGGATGTGTTTCATCACGTCGGGAAGTTTCGAGGATGCATTTTTTATAGGGTTTGGTTAAGCATTGTATCAGGAAGTTCAATTTTGAGTGAGATTCACAGGATCGGACATTTTATTCCTTTCTTTTCCTACTTAGTTTGAAGGGCTGTTTCTGATTACTTTGGGTGTTAGTTTTAGTATTTTGCACAGACTTTAGGTCGGTCTTGATTGTGCCTTTTGTACCCATTTCCTGATTGTGCCAGTTTCTAATTACTTTTTATATTAAGTTATTATGCATTTGTACTGTTTATTTAAGATTCTTATGAAAGATTTTGTGTATATGGATCTTGTTGAATTTTCAATTTTTTGATAGGTGAGACCTTTTTAGAGGTAAGTGAAAATTTAGAGTAATGGAGGTTTAGAATCTAAGAGGCATAAGATTAGAACCAAGGCTTATTATTATTATGTTTTTTATTTTAAGATTAGAACTAAGGGTGAGCACATGATATGTAATTCTAGTCAATGTTAAGTTAAATATTATTGGTCAATATTGCTTGATGATGGAGTTATATATGTGAAATATTTAATTGAATTTGATTTATTATACAAAGAGGGAGAATATATGCTAAGTTCTTAATTCTTCAAGAGTTGTTAAAAGTTTTAATTTCATTCAGAGTGACCATTAAGATTGATTTGTATAGCAACGGATTCTTGATTTATCTTGATTTCTACCATATGTGCTTTCTTAAGAATTTATTTTCTATTTTTGATTAACATTATGGTGGCATGTGAGATTGTTTGTGTTGGCAGGGTGAAGCTGAGGATGCATTATAATATGACTATGATGTGGTTGAAATCATGCACGTATTACATCTGAGGAAAAAATTCATATCTTTTGCTCTCAGTTTAAGATATCGTTTCCTTAAAAATATAGAGATTTTTGAAGCTTGCACATGTGCTATGGTTGTCTTGAGTTAGGAAATATGTGATATTTTTTCTCTCAGCTTAGTCAGTTCCTATTGGGCTGTTTACTTTGTTTATAAATAGCTGCCTTAGTTTGGCATCCTTAAACATAGGAAACCTTGCTGATTGCATTGCTTGAGATACACACATTTCATATTTTGTTCTTTTAAATAAATTGCAGCAAGTTATCTGTAAATTTATGAAAAGCAACTGGGCATCAACTAAAAGGAAACTTAAGAGAGCTGGTTGTGGTTGATTCTCTTTCAACTGGAATGTGGAAGGAGAGCTTCCCGTCGACCGTACTTGTTAAATTTGGAAAACAAGATGATGTCTCAGCTGATTTTGTGACAATAAATTAGGTTTTGGATTTTTTTTGGATAAGAAACCAAATGGGGAAATGTAATTTATTGAATATATATTGCCTATATAAGGTATATTGTAAATTGTAAGTTTAGAATTTTAGAGAGCGTTAAGAGAAGAAAATAAAAGAGAACACTCGTACTTGGGATACTTCAATTTGTGCATGTGCATGAGTGTGCGTGTGATTGAGTAATCAGGAACGAGTAGCTCATCTAGTGTGTTTGCGTGCGTGTGTGTGTTTATGTGTGTGTGTGTGAGCGAGCAATTTTGCGTGCGTGTGTGTGTGTGTGTGTGTTTATGTGTGTGTGTGTGAGCGAGCAATCAGGAAAAAGTAGCTCATCTCCTGGCTAGAATTAATGCGACTATCCTGAAGATTAATTTGTGAATCCCACCCACAATAAAGCCCTCATAAAGAAGGTGAAAGAAATAGAGAAAAGCATCGGTGCTGGTGTATGAGCATGGCATGCCCACCAATGAGCTGCTTTTTTATTAAATTTTCTTTTGGTTCCTCCGATTTATTAATCTCAAGGACCTCAATCTTAGAACACGTACAGTTGGCATTC